TGGCTCACTCAAGTCCTTTGCGATCAGAGAGCGTATAGCTGGAAGGTATTTCGCTTCGAGGCTGTGCTCGTACTGGATGTACTGCAGATCCGCGGGGAGGTGGGTGACCTTGGAAACGTCCATGTTGCTGTCTCGCGGGGTATATTTGTTTGAGATCGGACTTCGTAGGCAAGATATATGAAATCAAAGCTATAAAATTCGTGGTGAGAGGTTGCGCACAAGCCTATATCGGCACCTGAAATGGTCTCAAGGCATGACAATCTGTATAGCGCGCAAGGAAGAAGCAAGAAGTGAAGTCTTGAGATCTCAGACGAGGCGGATGAGAGAAAGTGCGGGCAAATAGCCGGGTGTCGCCAATGTGACGCGTGGTTTGCTGTAGAGGAAGGCAAGACGAGAATGCAAAAGATGAAGAGGCGCGGCTCTGCCGCGGCTGGGGGTTATGAGACAAGGGCGAGTGCAAACCGGCCGAACCAGGATCGTGAGATGTGCGTTTGCAGGTGCAAGTTGATGGGCGTAGTTGGAGTCGGAGTCGGGGGACGCTGCATTCGATACCTAAAACTGAGTCGAGTTGTTCTGGCTGCGGTGCTTCAGGTCAGTCAGCTCCGCTCAGACCGTGCGGTGTTCAGTGTCCTACCAGCTGCAGTACGGTAGGCCCCGCCCGGGGGCCCACCATCTACGCCCATCGTCCCTGTCGGATTCGGAGGTCAAGGCAGTTTTGCGGGCAGGCCATTTAGTGGGGTCTACCGACGGGCGGCCTGTTGCCCTCAGGGCAGTGAGATTCCTTTTCCAGCCAAACGCCGTGAATTTCCTTCACTGTCACATGTCAAACGGCCGCCCTCGTGCTACCTCGACAGTCATCTCATTGGATACCTAGAATGGTTTAATCAGACCTACTTGATTTTTGGAAACTCGACTTTGCGGAGAGGTGAGGTTTCTACCAGGTGAGGTAAGCACATGGTAAAGTGAGGTGCATTAGGGTGAAGCCAGAGATGGCAGCGCCTCACGCTTGCCAGCGTGTGCTGGGTGGTGTTTGTGAGGGTTGTCAAACTTGGATATTCCAGGTAATTGAGAGAAGACCGTAACAAGGTTGGTAGGTAGGATTCACTTCATGTCCTACACAAGGCGAGATTACTGCCCGTCAAATCTGCCAAGTTTAAAATCTTGCTTGCGTTCATGCAATGGGGTTCATCCAAGGCCCATCACATGCAAGTCGGCCCCCTTGGGCTGCTTGTCAGGGTCTGCTTTAGAGCCCATTACCTCTATTCAATTAGTTAGACCAAAAGAGACAGGAAACGACTTGACCGCTTTCGGAACATTTCTACGCGACAAGCATCGTCGGGACATAACAAAAAAAAAATTCATATTGTAGCACTTGAGGTATCACTTGGTGCCAAGTTACCAGTTACCTACTGCGTAAGGATTTACGACGGGACCGGTGCCCTCATTCAGTGGGACCCCCCTGCATTCCATTGCGGCATGGTGCCTGTGCATCTGCCGGGCGCACTCACCACAAGGCCAGATACATAACAACCACACCAAAATACGCACTACCTTCAAGTACCTCTTCTGGCGGAGAGCATGCTGGAAAAAGATGCTGCCCCCCTCGGAGATTGACGTCACGTCGGGCCGCACGGAGAAGTCAAGCAGCTCATGCATCTTTTTTTGCTCGTTCCTCGGCCGCCTCCAACAACCCACCCCCCGAGCTCCGGACTCCTTGGCTCTCAACATTGCCCGGCCAAGCACACCTGAATCCCGCATGCCTCGGGACTGCTTGTCAACATTTGTCCCTCTCTATCTGTCCAACAAATCACGAAACAAGCTTTGCCTAGCTTTGGATCTGCCATAGGTAGTCGCCCCCCCTTGCTCGCCGCTTAGCTCACACCGTCCCATCGCCCACTCGCCCACGTGCCTTTCAATAAGTACCAGGCCACGCCCAACGAGGACGGCGCAGTTGACACCGTCCTCGCTTCCACTTCATCCCAAGCTCAGGTATGCGCCGCCTGGTCCTTACTTCCACGGAATAGCCTGGCCTCTTTGGGTTGTTACAATATCGACTTCAAGGGCTCACTCCGTTCTACTAACATTTCCCCCGTGGTAGCGGCCCTTTGCGACAGCGACCATGTCTTCTTCGACTATTAGGCGCCGAGCCATCCCCACCGACAGCAACATCGATAGTGAAATTTCGACCCCTCGAGACGAAAGCCCCGAGAAACCCGAGACTGTAGCTCACGTTGTTCACCATGTAAAACCCAAGACACGGAAACGCCGGAATGGCGCCATCTTCTTACTTGGAAGTTTATTTGGAATTATAGCCGCCGGCTTTTTCGCGAAAAGCAACGACCTCATAGATTTCCCCGAGCTTGGAGAGCTTAGCATGGACAGCTTCTTCGATGTTCTGCCAGCTGGCTTGGTTAAGGACATGCGAGAGCTTGTGGTCAGTAACAATTCAGGTGTCGTCCTTGGCGAGCGAGCGTCATCTAGTTGGCTAGAACTAACATGGCTGGCTGTAAAGCAAGGCGAGCGAGAATTCGTCGATAGCTACGATGCCTTCTCCGTAGGTTTGCAAGCCCGCGCCGAGGGTCTTCATGCCCATCACCCCATGATCATGGTCCCAGGCGTCATCTCAACAGGCCTCGAATCGTGGGGCACGGCCAACGTTTCCCGCCAGTATTTCCGAAAGCGCCTCTGGGGTAGTTGGAGCATGATGCGTGCGCTGGTCCTCGACAAGGAAAACTGGAAGAAACATATCATGCTGGATCAGGAGACCGGTCTCGACCCCCCTCATATCAAGTTACGAGCTGCTCAAGGCTTCGACGCAACCGACTTCTTTATCACCGGTTACTGGATCTGGAACAAGATTTTCGAGAATCTGGCATCAATAGGCTACGACCCGACTAATTCCTTCACTGCCGCGTACGACTGGCGTTTGGCGTACCCCAACCTCGAAACACGCGATCAGTACTTTTCGAGGCTCAAATCTTATATTGAAACTGCGCATGCGTTTTCGGGCAAGAAGGCCGTTCTCGTGTCCCACAGCATGGGAGGGCAAGTCCTTTTCTACTTCTTCCACTGGGTCGCATCCGAGAGTGGTGGACGGGGTGGCGATGATTGGGTCGAACAGCACGTCGAAGCTTGGATCAACGTGAGTGGCTGCATGCTTGGTGCTGTCAAGGACTTGACAGCTGTCTTGTCAGGTGAGATGAGAGACACAGCTCAGCTGAACGCCTTTGCCGTATACGGCCTCGAGAAGTTTTTGAGCAAAGACGAAAGAGCCCAGCTCTTCCGAGCAATGCCTGGCATTTCTTCCATGCTTCCCATTGGAGGAGATGCTGTTTGGGGCAATTCGACATGGGCACCTGATGACAAGCCGGATCAGGAGCTGTCTTACGGTTCTCTCCTCAATTTCCGTAGCGGCATGAATTGGACAACTCCGGAACGGAATCTGACGGTCGAGTCAGCCATGAACTATCTCTTCAACACTACAGAGGAGTGGTACTCGAGGAATGTGAAGGGTGCCTATTCCCATGGTGTAGCACACACTCAAGCCGAGGTCGACGCCAACGAAAAAGACCCAAACAAATGGATCAACCCCCTGGAGACACGTCTGCCTCTGGCACCGAGCCTCAAGATCTACTGCTTCTACGGTGTAGGCAAGGCAACGGAGCGAGGCTACTACTATCGGTCACCAGACGCACCGGCTCTCACGAACCTGAACATCACAATCGACACAACCCTCACGCAGGGAGAGGTGGATCATGGTGTCGTCATGGGAGAGGGCGACGGAACAGTAAATCTTCTCAGCACGGGATACATGTGTAACCGCGGGTGGAACTACAAGAGGTACAACCCAGCCGGTGTCAAGGTGACGGTTGTCGAGATGGAGCACGAACCCGAGCGATTCAATCCCCGTGGAGGACCCAAGACGGCAGACCACGTGGATATTCTCGGGCGGCAACATCTGAACGAGCTCATCTTGAGGATCGCGGCGGGCAAGGGAAATACGATTACCGACTATGTTGTTAGCAACATTAAGGAGTACGCTGACAAGGTCAAGGTGTATGACGACGGCCAAAGACCCGATGAGGAGCAGGATACCTGGGAGGAGACTTTGGAAAAATTGGTCGGCAACAGTTCATGAGCGGTCCGATTAGAGGCGTTATTTGGCGCAAGGGTACTAAGAGTATTTGGAGCATTTGGGAATGGTTACGACACGGATACAATACCCTCTCATTCAACGACTTTCTGTGTTTCCATGCCTTTCGTCTTTGTGTCTTAATAGGTAATTATTGAACGAGATACACGCTACACATAGAGCTCGCAGCATATTTTTACATGATGAACCTCTGAGGCTTTGACAGGTGACCCTGTGACAGGCCTTATTGTGCAGACTCGGAAAGGTCGCAAATGTTTCTCTATGGTAGGCACGAGTCGCCATGAAGAGACAACAAGCAAGGAGGGGCATGCAAGAACTTGAGGGCGGCATGGGATCAGGTGCACGTTTGCGCAGTCACCAGAGCAGCGACTACAGCGGAAGATCGGTGTCCCCAGCCCCTCCATCTCCATCCCCACCCCTCCGCTTCACATTTCCCCCACCTTCACTCCAAAAGAAATAGAAAAAAAAAGTCCCCTCACTACATGGCAGCCGCCAACCAACTCCCGTCCAGGACTCAGTGTGTTGTCGCTGCCGCTGCCGCTGCCGCTCAGTGGGCCTGTACAGTGCTTCAAGGGTGGACCGTCCGTCCTTACCTCATCCAGCTCGGGCCTGGCCCCAGGCTGCCCTGGCCTGACTAGGTACCTGAAGAGGGGGACCTTGTTGTCAAGCCATGTGGTGTATCAAATCCCAAAGAGTCGAAACTCCAGCCGGCCTCATCTTCATCCCACCGAGTATCCAACGCTTCTCTTCTTCTTCTACTCCTCTTCTCATATTTTAGCAGTCGCTGTTTGCACTGCGCCGGTGATGCAGACCATTCCACCCACGTATCAGCGGTGGTTCTAGCATCATGGCCGACTTCGATCTATACGAGTCTCTCGAGACCAAGCACCAATTTTGGGAAGGTCAGCCAAATTCGCCCCCAAATCCAACCCCTCGTTGCTTCTTCCATCCTCCCCCGCCTTACTGTTCATGATGTTGTCTACTTCGTCTCCTCCCAGACCTTACCTTTCCTACGTCGCACACTGTGCGCATCGTAAGATTTGTCGCTGACCAGAGGCTCGTCGTCAACTGCAGAGCTCGACGACGTCGTCACTACCCAATACCAGTCCCACGACTTAATCGACGAAACCCTGCGATCGTGGCTCTATCTTACTTCGAGGTTCAGAGACAAGTTCCCCGAGAACGAAAATGATGTTGCCACCTGCTGCGAGAAGCTACTGCAATGCAAGCTGTTTCAAGACAACAAGGACTACATTCGCAACCAGATCGTCTACAGCCTTTTGCAGGAGGATGAACCCCCGTCGCTGCACGCCATTATACTATTCCTTTTGCTCGACGGCCATGCCGATGAGGCCTTATACTCTCGTATGATCGAGGAGGCGTGCTTTCCTCGCCTCCTCGAGCTGATTAACGGACGTAAAGACCAGGATCTGAGGCTGCATCGCTTGCTTCTGGAGCTGATGTACGAAATGTCCCGGGTCGAAAGGTTGCGCACCGCCGACTTGCTCCAGGTCGACGATGGCTTCATTGCATACCTCTTCCAGATCATCGAGGAGCTATCCAACGACGTTCACGACCCATATCACTATCCAATTATCCGAGTGCTGGTATAACTCTCCTCGCCGTGTTCCCTCCTGCTCGTTACTGGCGCTGACGAATATGAAAACAGTTGGTTCTCAACGAGCAATACATGCTCGCATCCACCGACGTCGCCTCAGATCCGAACTCGCCCACAGCCCCTCTCACGAATAGGGTGATCAAGTGCCTTAGTCTCCACGGCGATTCGTTCCGCACATTCGGAGAGAACATCATTTTACTTTTGAATCGTGAGACGGAGACGTCCCTGCAACTCTTGATCCTGAAACTCCTTTACCTATTATTTACAACCAAAGTTACATATGAATATTTCTACACCAATGACCTCAAGGTTCTCCTTGACGTTATCATTAGGAACCTGATGGATTTGCCAGACGAAAAGATATCGCTTCGCCACACATACCTCCGAGTCCTGTACCCACTCCTGGCGCACACGCAACTGAGCCACCCGCCGCACTACAAGCGTGATGAGGTACTCAAGGTCTTGAGGATTCTGGGTGGTTATGGAAATTCTCACTTTGCCCCTGCGGACGAAACGACGGTGCGTCTAGTCGACCGAGTCTCGAAAGTGAAATGGCTTGTCGACCAGGAGGCTTCTGGCGAGGCAGAGGTGGCTCGGAAGTTCCTGGGGATCAGTCTCACACGTTCGGACACGGCGAGCAGCGTTAGTGTTGTCGACGTCGCCGCCGTCATGGAGAAACCGGGTGTCATCACCCCGAGTCGCAAGGCCGAGGCAGACGCCGAAGCCAAACAAGGTGAGGCAAAGGCCGGGGCAGGCGCTGTGCGGCCGAAGAAGCCGTTGCCCGAGGTACCAAAACACCGACATGGCGTGCCGGTCGGACCGACGACGACGTTGCATTTGAATGGACATAAGAAGATACCACCAAAAGCCCCGCCGCCACGGAGAAAGACGAAGCTCCAACCTTTGGAGCCCGTAGCGGACAGTGCCCCTATGCCAGAGGCTTGAAAAGAGATCTGGATGTGAGCTGGCCTGGTCCTGGCGGCCGGAGCAAACGACGAAATGAATTGGAACAGGTGTTTGCTCGATTTGACGATATGGGCTGGAGTTGTGAACTTGGAAACCAGAGGAGGCATAGCAATCGCAACGTTAAGGATGGCGTCGAGCGTTCGGGTTACGGTCATAGCATATCATGGCGTTTGGGATCCCGAGGACTGCTATACTCAGTCCCAAGACGGTATTACCGCCACCTAGCAGCTGCAAAATTTACGCATTTTGAGTGGATGAGATGAAGATCGAGATTCAACCATGTGTGTGTGTGTTTGTGCGTTAATGAATGTGTTGTTCACCATCAATATCTGTGCTGGATCTGAAGACTTGGTCGGAAGTCACTAGGAAGTATCGAAGGGTGAGATCGGAGTTAAGATAGATTCACTTCATCTCGAAGCAACATGAGATGAACGCTATATGTCCGCTACTTCCCAACTTCAACTTTACTCGTAAACCTAGAGGCACAGACTCGGCATCATGGACAACAACGGGTAAACAATACTTAGGGTTCATCCGAGGTAAGGTTTCCGTGCTTGGATGTTCCGCATACACGGAAGAAGTCTGCAAATGAAAATCCTATCTACCTAAATCGAGGAGGATCGTGTGTGCTTTGCAGGCAATATGGCGCGGAGTTGAGACCAATCCAATCAAAGATAACAGAAAATCGTAAAAAAGGAAGCACATTTCCATGACCCTGCAAAATGTTCCCCCAAAATGTTATGGATGGTCAGTATGCAGCGACCGCAGATTCGCGAACTTAGATTACCGCGCAATCTCACGATGTCTAGAGCAAAACGTCAAAAACATACAACACCAGGTATTCGCTGGTCGTCACCGACCCAACTACTAATCCGGCCCTCATTGGCTTATCTATGGGAGAGCGGACGGGATCCCGAGTTTTCCAATGGGTATGGTCGTATGTGGTGGTGAAAGGGGATAAAGTTGACTATATCGTGGGTGGTCAAAGGGCAGAATTTGATCTCAGTGAGTTGGTGAGGTGTGTTGCCTTGCTGCGTCAAAAGACCAGGCGATACAGACTACATACACCACCCAGACCTCCAATCCACTAAGTAATCGCGTGGCAATAGTGCTGATGTGTGTTGTTCGAGGTGTCGCTCCAGTACATCAAAATTTCGTACGTCTGAAGAAACGGCTGCACTCACCACTGTCGACCGTTGTTAAATCACAGCGGATGGAGGGGTTTCGTGAATGTCCTATGGGCAAGCTCTCCCCCCACGCAGCCACACTCCTGTCAGCACTCAGCTCAAACTTGGAGGCACTGCCCGGGCATGCCGATGGAACTCGGCCCCGGGGGGCTCGGGGGATTGTTTGCAGCCAGAATGCGATAAACACGGGGAAACAAAACAGGAAAAAGGATGGTTGATTGATGAGGAAGGAAGTTGGGGTGCTTGGCAATCGGCAGCCTTTTTTTTCTTTCTTTTTTTTTTCTTCTTGAAAACAACACTTGGCAGAGGGTGGGTGCGAGACGATCATGACCTCGATTAAGCTCAGGTGGGTTGTGTGTGCTGCGGCTGGGCGTTGATTGGGCCGTGAACTTCAGGTTCAGCTGGAGAGGTTCAGGGTGTTGTTGGTTCAGTGGCACGTGAATGGTTGATGTGGCGTTTCTCTGGATGGGAATACATACTGGACGGCCCGGCCGGGTGGGACGGATGCGTCACGTCCTTGCGAGATGGTAGGATCGTGCTGCTGCTTTGGTTGAGGTGTGTGATGTTGGTGACAGCATGTTCCATGGTGAAGATGATTTGACGCGGGCGACTAGTAACGGGTTGGCGGATATCCGTCGAGCTACGAAGATGCAGAGGCCAGAGGGAGAACTGGGAATCGGGGATGCCTATCCGTACTAAAGTAAGGTAGGTAAGGTGCCGTAGGAGAGTTCATACGGATAGACAGTGACACAGTAATTACCTAGCTTAGTGAGGTGGAATTTGGAAGGGAAACGGGTCCCCAGGTGTTTGATGGTTAGGTTGCAGCGAATGTCACCCGTTTGGTGGTGTTGAAGAGGGGCGGCTACGTCATCGACGGGGCCTGACGCGCAGCGCTGGGAGCTTTTCTTGGCCTTCGTCTTCTTTTTTTTCTGGTCTTTGCGACGACGGGAGTCTAAGAGGAAATGAGGCAATACCACCAAGTGAGATTTATGACCAGGTCAAGTGTAAGAGGAAGAAACCTTCTCAGCCCATGTGCCACCTTGAGTGTCTTTTACTCCTCCATGACCGTGTGAACATATTTGTCTTGATGAGATACGTATTGCATGAGGGACCAGATGAGAAATACCGTGATGTGTTGGAATAATTGTTGACACAGTTCATGAGATGCCCCTTGGTGTTTCGTGACGGTTCACTCACCTGGATAGCTGGAGGCTGGCCACTGTAAGTTCATACAGGTTCAATCCATTGTCTCAAGGTACCTACCTACCTACCTACCTTACCTAGGCGTGCTAGGTAATAAGCAAAGTACTTTACCACTTACCCAAGGTGCCTTAGGGTGGACGATCCCAATCCCCCAAAGTAGACGCGCAATTCAGGGTCCAGCTGCGCTAGGTCGACGAGGGCACCCTGCACCTCACTTCAGACCGCAGGCGCAGCTCCTTGTTCGTCAGTCCGTGTTGCGCTGCGGCTTGCCCAGGCTCGTTCTTGCAGCGGCACCCGCGCGCACATTACACAGCACAGCATAGCACAGTGATGGTCAGAAACATCAGATTCAGCGCAAACCTACCTTAAGCTGAGGTACGAGGGAGTCGAAGGCGCAACGGTCCAGAGACAGGACGACGGTGCACGTTTGTCCATGACATGGGATGCTACTACATTGCAATCAGACTCCAGTAAGACATTTCATTTAGATAACGATTAGGACAGGTACGGAGTAAAAAAGATGGAAAGAGAAAAGGCAACAAGTTGGAAATGGAAACGCACATGGCAGTGGCCAGTGGGCACCCCACTCGTCTGCCCTCCCCCCTGTCCTGCAATGTCTGTATCCGTCGACGCGGTGCCCAGAGACTGCGATACCCCGGGTCAAAGTGGGAAGCTGGCGTGCAAACATCCCCGGCTCAGGGAACCTAATTACCTGACTTTCGGGCTGTCTCCCACTCCTTTACAATCACGCGTGACGCTTCACCCTCGATCCTCGTTCCCGTCCTGTCAAAAGGTTCCTTCCTTACCTTGCCTACCTTACCATTCCTAGGTACCTCACCGTATAGGTACTTGTGCTCACCTCAACCTTGCTTACGACTTATTGGTATTGATAGCAATCCTGCGCAACACCAACAAACCCATCTTGTTCTTACAAACACCTATCGTGGCACCTATCTCTCTCTCCATTTCTCTCCCTCTTCCTCTCCTTTCCCCCCTTCTTTCCCCCCTCTATTCTTCACCTACGTGCCAATCTCAAGCCTGCAACGTCCGGCACGCTCCCGTCATCACCACCTTGAAGCAACTAGCAGTCGCGCAAATCACAAAGGTGCGCAACCAACAACCTCCGAGACACATCAGCATTCCACCGACCCAAATCGGCAGCCGCCACCACGACTCGAACGCACTTGATGACGACATTGGTCTGAGCCCAAGACTACCCTCTCCTACTGCTATTGCGTCAAGCACACCGCAACTGGATACACTAACCACCTTTCCCATTATCGACCCGTCCGTTCCCCCTCCTTCGTCGCGCTAAGGCTGTCTAAACCCGTCTAAAAGCTCGCCAGCGACACCTTCCGACGCCAGCATCACTGCTGATACCTTGCGCTAGTCTGAGTCGTAGCTGTCGTTCAGATTAACACCGGCTTCCCGGCCTGTCTCAGTCTCCCTACCTTACCTTACCACACAGAGTGACAGAAATCCGACCGTGTATTCGTCCCAAGAATGCCAACAATGGCAGCCAGATCCCCGCCTCCATCTACACCCACGCCAAAGGCATACTCCAACCACGCGCCGCACATCGCTGATCCCGATTCCTACAGGGAACCAGCTACACAAGACATGGACAGAGCTACCTACGGCACTGCGGCCGACAGGAACTCAAATCGCACCTCGTCCTATTTCCCTCAACAACCACCTCAGCTCTCCTCCTCCACGTCCTACAACTCTCCCGCTTCCGACCCATCTACATATCCTACTCCTCAGAACACTGCTCCTCTGCCATACGACGGGGACCAAGAAACCCATTACAATACTCTTGCCAACGCGCAATCCGTTAGCCATCAAACACAACACCTCTCACCAGGAAGTGACGGTGCATACTACGGTCCCCCGACTGCTGCTTCAAACTACGACAACAAGCTAGCCGTGCCCTCCACTACCACCCAGGGCAAGTTTACAGAGGAATGGGATGCAAGTCAAAGAGGAAGCAGTATCATTGACGGTTCCAACATGCCGCGGTCCAACTCGTTCGTCTCCAACAATGGGGACGACCACCTGAGCCTCCCCTCACGCCACAATACCCTCAAGAAGAAGAGCTCGCTGCGCAGAAATGGCAGTCTGAAGCGCAGCGGTAGTCGTCGGAGCATGAAGGCTGGTAGCGTTCGGAGCCTGGCTCTGCAGTCTTCCAACGACGCAGATGAGGTGCACAGCGCTTTCCATTGCCCAGTTCCAACATCTGGGAACCCAACCGAGGCCCTAGCCAACCGATTCCAGTGTAAGCCTTCTCTGGTGCTGACGAGCTATGTATACGCCAAAGACTAACATCATTTTGTAGCTTGGCGCAAGATTCTCAAGGATCTTATCGCATACTTTCGCGAAATCCAGACGCACTACGAGCACAAGTCTAAGTCCTTGGTGAAGCTGGCCAATGTCGCCAACAACATCTCCAGCCCTCCTGGTTTCCTCAACTCGGGTGGTATCGACGATGCACTGCAAATACTGCGTGCTTATCACAAGGGCGCCATTCTAGAATCAAACAAGGCCAAGGAGATTGAGGAGGATGTCATCCTAGCGCTCACTGGGCTGAGG